CCCCACCAGCCGCACCTTTGAATAGGTAGTCGTACTCGTCGTCCCGGGTCCCCATTGTCCTGGCGCTTCCGGCGGGATCGGCGACTCCGCAACCCCACCACAAACACCCGACGGGGGCGGTGCCGGCGCCGCGCAGAGCGGCGGTCGGGTGGCCAATCAGCGGCGGGCGGAGTAGCTACTGGCACTGAGCACAGCCAATCACCAGCGGAAGCAGAGCCATGGGGGTGGGCGCCGCTTGGGATCCACCTTCCTCGCCCTCGGTGTCCTGAAGAAAGGCGGAAGGAATGCGGACCTTTCTGAAGTGATGGCCGCGCCAGCCTATCAGAAGCGGGCTCAGGAAGGCGGGGCGGAAGACTGGAGGAACCAAACGGATTGACGGAGCAAGTAGCCAATGAGAGGCTTGATTCCGACCCAACCTCCAGAGGACCTGGCCGGGAAGGGAAATAGGGCTACGTCCAGGTGATGTTACGCTGCCTAACGTCCCAGTGGCGTCATAGGTCAGTGCGCGCTGCTCTGGCCTCGCCCCCCAACCCATGAATGACTATATCCGGAGACCGCCCCGGCTCTGGTCTGTTGGTTGCAGTTTCTGTCCCTACATTGGTGACATTACCGCTCAGGGCCTCCGTTTTCTCCTTTGTAAACGGGAAGAAATCCAGCTCCTGTAATATCTTGAGAATAACTAGATCATTTCCTTAGAAACATACAGAATAAATCGTCCTCTTTCTGCCATCAAGTCTTTGCTCACAAATATTTATAAATTGTGTTGGGCACCAGGCATTCTCCAACATGACCTCCTGCCCCTTTTTGTTCCTTTGCCCTGTTTTATTCTCTCCCATTTGTCACTACTTGACAAAAGATGAGTTTTTTAGTTTTATTTTATAAAATATGTAAGAGCTGAGCGCGGTGGCTCACACCTGTAATCCCAGCACTTTGGGAGGCCGAGGCAGGAGGATCACTTGAACCCAGGTGTTCAGGACCATCCTGGACAACATAGCGAGACTTCGTCTCTACAAAAATCAAAAAATAAGCCGGGCATGGTGGTGTGTGCCCGTAGTCTCAGTTACTCGGGAGGCGAGGCTGAGCCATGATGGTGCCACGGCTCCCCAACCCGGGCCACAGAGGTGGACCCCGACTGAATTAATAAAATAAAATATATACATTTACATAGTGAAGTGATTACTACAGTTTTTACATACATTTACATAGTGAAGTGATTACTACAGTTAAGCAAATTAATCTACCCATCACCTTCCATAGTTAACTGTGTGTGTGTGTATGTGTGTGACGAGAGTTCCTAAAATGTACAAACAGCACATTTCCAGTACCCTGTGCAATATTATTAACTATGAAGTATGCATGCTTTGTTGAGCCATTGATCTGTTTGATTTCTGTCCCCCATCAACAGAGTATCAACACTATGAGGTCAGGGACTGTATTTGTGTCATTCACTACAGTATATTCCCCAGTGCTAAGTATTTCTGTATTCAGTGATTAATAATTTTTTTTTTTTTTGAGTTGGAGTCTTACTCTGTCACCCAGACTGGAGTGCAGTGGCCGCTCCCAGCCACTACAGCCTCGACC